AGAACATATCAGTTTATGTTGCTCATTTACCCACACTAAAGACTGTTGTCATGGCATGCTAAAAATACTTTAGAAAGATTTCACTGATTGCTTCCATTTAACTGCCACTTTGCCATTTATTGACTTAATTTTGCACAAAATGAAGCACACTTAAGACCCATGATAAGATATTAGGTTTTAGTTCTACATACCTCATCATGGAAATAATAAAATGAAGAAAACCTTTTTTTTTTTTTTTTGGTACTATATTTACAAAAGAACCCACATCCAGAAAGAAAAATCCATACTAAAATCTCTCAGCATAATCTTAACACACACAAATAAGCATCTCTTACTTTTATGCTCTGTTCAAATTAAAGCCAGTATCTATTTCATTTCAGAAGGTATGCCATTGTTTTACAAAATACACCGAGTAATAAAGTGGAATTTTCATAGATGAAAACAACTGTAAATTGGGGGTGGGGGTGTTGGAAGATCTTTCTTTTCTAAAGCTTTTTGTTTAATGAGTCTTGCTTTAAAGCAGCTCTGGATTTTTTTTTTTTTCTTCAGAATAAATCCATGAGTTTAAGAACAACTTTTCTGTTTAAATAGATAAAGGAACCATAAAAGTATATTCACCAGGATCTAGATCTAGGCCAATATATGTTTGTGTATATATATAATCAGACGAGATCGGGCGCATTCAGGGTGGTATGGCCGTAGACATATGTTTGTGTATATATATAATCATTATCAGAATAATTGACTGTGGTAACAGAAGTGTTGATTTAATTTTTTTGTTGCAAATACTTGTATATTAAGAGATAGTACAGTTTTGGTCAATCCTTTTACTATTGAAAAGTTCCAAGAGATCATCTCACATATATTCAGATTATCAGCTTTCTAATAGATATAAATTCAAAAGCAAACAGCTATATGAATCAAACATGCACTGCCCAACAGCATGGGTCTGAGAACCCCTGAACGTGACCTGCTCCCAGAGGAAAGCAATTTAATGCTCCGTTGCACACAGAACAGTATGTATGAATCACAAAACCTTCAGATAAATTAGTGACAGGTACATCTGAATAGGATTTCTTCTAAGTCTCTTATCTACAGCCAGGCAAGCTTGTTTTACCCTCACTTTCAAAGATAACTCCATGTGGCCTGTCCCCTTGGCAGTTCTCACAAAGCAAACAACCCCCATCATCCATTATTGGGGGGAAAAATCCCCTTATTATTTCAGTTACTGTGACAGCAAATGGGATAAAGTGAAAGCTATCTGCCAGTTGAAAATTCATCAGTCGATTACCACATCTTATATCTTCTCTAACTTTCACAGGCTGTGTGCTTTTTGCTCTTTCACTTTTATTTTTGACAGTTCTGATATCCCAGACTTATAGCCATTGCAAGGTTCAAGAACAAAACAGCAGGTTATCAAAGACAACTTATCAGAGGCCATACAGGGAAAAGAGATGCCAACCATTAGTGAGTAGCTGAAAGACAGATCTAGACAGAGGGAGGGAGAACAGTGTATCAAGCTTTCATCTTTAACTGACCATTTATTCTGTTTGAAAAAACTCTGAGGAAATTTTGAGATGCTAAAGATATATTCCAAGTACTTAGGGATATTGGTAACAGAGAAAATTAAAAACAATAAAACCAAACCAAACACACACACACACACACACACACACACACAGAAAAAGCTTATATATGAGGGATCATATTGACGTACCTTATCAACAATAAAACCAAACCAAACACACACACACACACACACACACACACACACAGAAAAAGCTTATATATGAGGGGTCATATTGACGTACCTTATCAACTATAAACACATTGGAATATCAAAACCATACAAAACCAAGTGCATTAAACTAAATATCAATAAATAGCGTAAAAATTCTTTATCATCTGCAAAGTCAAACATTTATTAACTACTATAATTTTTTTAAAAGCAAACAATAAAACAAATTCTACTGTAGTCTACAATTATACTTACTGGAAACCGTCTCATTATTTTAATAAATTCCATGTCATGTCACTAGGTCAATGACATAGCATTAAATAATTCAATATCACAAACCAACAAGACTCACATTTTAGGTTCTGTAGAGATAGTCCTTCTCATACAAAATCAGGGTTGTGCTTTCTGGGCGAGTCTGTGTTAAATCAAAATGACAAAAATCTTAGTTTCCCATTCTACTGCCACTTAGAATGCATGCAAATAAACTTCCATCTAGTCAAGGGGAAAAAAATTGCATTAAGGAGTACTGATTTGTAAATTTGGTCTTTTCAAATGTAGATGATGTTTTCCCCTCCTCTCCCCACATATCTTTGCAAAATTTCAGGAATGAACTCATTACTGTAGAAATTCAAGTAAAGCTATGGTCAGTTAATGAAATTCAGGCCTGGGATTAAGCTCCATAAACATGCAAAATAGTTGGGCATCTGCAATTGGGAGAGACATGGTGATGCTGGAATCTAAACAAAATGAGCCATATAAATTAATCAAAGTACAATATGATAGATTTAACTAAGTTAAATGTTGTCCTATATATGAGGTGATTCATAGTATTTCAAATATGCAAAAAATAAAAGCAAAAATAACTTGAAAATGTTACCAATACCATATCCAAAGACACTTTGGGGAATATAAGTATAGCTACTAAATTTACCTTCTTTGAAATTACACAAGTTTAATTAGATTGGATATATTTCCTTTATAGCCTCAATAATTCAAGCAACATTAAACACCATTTTAAATATGAAAGAATTTCAGTTAACTGGCAATAAAAATTATTATTTCTGCTCTAACTACTACGCTTATACTGATTTATTTACAATGTACTTCAAAGTTATCAGTAATTTCTTAAAAGCTTTAGTAAATACAGAACTAAAATGCTCAATTAAAATGTTAAACTCTACTTGTGCAGCACCATACTATATTAATATTATTTTATTTTTAGGAATTAGAAAAACTAAAAATGTAATCAGAACAATAGATTTGAATGTTTAAGAAGTTAAATGTCAGGTAAGTATTGTGTAACTGTTTATTTGAATTATGTCAACACAAAGTCATAATGATTCCTTCATTATTATATGCCAAGATTTTGAGGCTTCATAATGAAATGTTACATTTTGCTGGTTAATTATCCACTAACTCAACAAACAGATCTTGACCAAGATGCCCTTTTCATTCCCTTTTGCTGGATCAAAATGTAGACAGGCTTCTTACTATCTCTAAGCCCTGACCTTCTTATTCTTACTTACTTTAGAAAACTTGCAATTGTAAATAATTTATCTTCCCCTTTGAGATGTAAATCTTCTTCCTGTCTCCTGCCAATTTTGCTATGCAGAAAGTCTTTCTCTTGGACCTTTGGAAAAGTGATCAAGAAAATAGTGCCCCTAATTCCTAGTCTCTATGAAAAAGTAGGAGCCCAATTTAGATAAGCATAATTAGCAAACACTGATGGCTAATCCCATTGACCAACCTCCCAACTAATGTCCTCTAACACTTTCCACTTAATCACTCAGACTGTTAAAGATCCTGCCAATCTTTGTTTTAGCAGTTAAATTCAATCTCTTTTTTTTGTCATTCGGAAGTAAGCTGTCTTCACCGGTTTAACTCTTGAGTGCAATTTTTCTTTCACATTCTCAGGTGTCTATTGTGTGTTAGCAGGAATTCTGTTAATTCAGTGGTGAGCAAGACACAGTATTTTTCTTCATAGCACCTATCATCTTGTGAAAGACAGATACAAATAAATTCACATTTAAAATAGATTGTTGTGAGATTCAAGATGGCAGGCTAGAGGGAGGCTGCATTCTGAGTCGCTCTGGGACCTGGGATTCAAGTAGTGAAAATAATGTTTCTCTGTCAATGATTAGAAGATCCCCAACAACTGCTCCCCACAGGAATCATAGCTACCGTGCCTCAGCTGTCAGCACAGGACTCCCAAAAACTTGTCCACGAAGGTCCTCCCGAATAGGACCCTCCGGCACTATCAGGACTCCTGGTCACTCCTCCCACAAAGGAATCTTGTCTGCAGCTCCCAGAAAACCTGGCAGCAGCCCAAGTGCAGAAACTAAGGCTGCCACTCCTGTGTGCACCACTATCTACAAACATGGGGCTCCTCCAGTCGCCTCCATCTTGGGGCACTGCAGCCACTGCCACAGTCCCATACACGTGGTAGCCTGCACCTGGGAACACTGCACTGGGTTCCATGACAGCTGCCAGCCATATTACTGCATGCCACAGAGCTGCATTTCTGAAAACACCACTCAAAGCAAAGGCCTGACTCTACCCTATCGCTGAAAGCAGACACCTCCATCTTGGGACACCTTCTTTGCCATCTTTAGTAGGGGCAACCCAGTTTGGAACACTGGCTGGAGATTAGAAACAATATGAAGATACTGAAAGTCCCCAACTCCCCCTTCTCCCCAGCAGCCACTAACCTGGTACAGTGCCTGCGGCTACAAAGCCAATCTACACCTGCTCTGTAGCTCAGAAAACTGGGTTGCAAAACCCATGCACAAAACCCAGGCCTGGACTGCCCAATACAAAATAGATCTCCTACAGGTGTGTAGCCCACAGAGCAGCAGCACAGGAGACATCTGGAGAGAAAGGCTTTTGATTGGAAAACGGAAAGGAAAGGGAGGGGGTGAGTGAAATATAGTTTAGAGACTAAATTAAAGACCAGGAATTGTGAGGTCTATAGGAGATAAGACCAGGCGCCCACATCACATGAGCGGGCCCCAAAGGAGGTCCTTGGGGTGCAGTCTCCATTGGGGACAAGCACATACTATGCCCCACCTCCAGGAGCCCCATCCCCAAGACCAACCCTCTCACCCTAATAACCTTCACCATCCTGAGGGTGGATACCAGCAAACAACAGACAACCCCACCTATTACTTAAGAAGAGAAGCCTGGAAGATACTGATCTCCAACAAATCAATCCTTGTATTTTCCTTTGAGATTTGTTTTTTCTTTTCTTTTTTTCTTTCTCTCTCTTTCTTCTCCTGCCCTTACATCCCCAACATTTGTGAAACCAATTACTTTTCATAAATTAGTCTCCTGAGGATTGGGATGGTTGAATTGTATATTACAGTAGTGTTGTATATTCTTTTATCTCCTATTTTTACATTATTTACTTTTCTTAATTTTTTTTT